TTGGTTGATGTCATGAAGGGAGAAATCCACACAGGACCCTTTGTCAACGTTGTTTTTTAAAAATTATTCCTTTTTTGTAGATTTTATTTATTATATATACAGCATTCTGCCTCCACACATGCCTGTTGCCAGAAGAGGACACCAGATCTCATTACGGATGGCTGTGAGCCACCATGTGGTTGCTGGGAACTGAACTCGGGCCTCTGGAAGAGCAGTCGGTGCTCTTCACCTCTGAGCCATCTCTCTCCAGCCCATATTTTTTTTAAAAGATTTTATTTATTTATTATGTATACAATATTCTGCTTCCATGTATCTCTGCACACCAGAAGAGGGCATCAGATCTCATAATAGATGGTTGGGAGCCACCATGTGGTTGCTGGGAACTGAACTCAGGACCTCTGGAAGAGCAGTCGGTCTCTCTCCAGCCCCTGTCAATGTTATTTTTTAAGGCAGGATCTCACTGAGTAGTCCAAGATGGCCTTTAACTAACTCACTCCGAGTCCCAGACTGGCATGGCACTAGAGACAGTCCTGTCTCAATCTCCCACCTGGAGATCCACTTTTCTTGAAAACACTTGAGGAAACTCGAGAGTCCCTTTTGATACATTGTTGCTGAGGGCAGGTATGGAGGTCTGGTGCTGTAGCTAAGTGACAGAGTGCTTGCCCAGCGTGTGCTACAACCAGAATTTGACTCCTAACCTCATGTGCTCTGGGTATGGTCAGGCATGACTAATCCCAGCACTTGTTGGGTAGAGCCAGGAAGGTCAGGAATTTGAGGTCAGTCTGAGCTATATGAGACCCTGACTCAAAAAAAAAAAAAAAACCCTAAAAGATTGAAAAAAGAAATCAAGTGCCTGGGGTGGAGATGCAGGATTTTGATCCTAGCACTTAAGAGGTAGAGACAGGTGGATCTACTGTGAGTTCTAGGCCAGCCTGGTCTACGTAGAGTTCCAGGTTAGCCAGAGCTACACAGTGAGATCATCTCTTAATAAATGAAAGGTCTTAGCTGGGCAGTAGTGGCGCTCGCCTTTAAACCCACCACTCGGAAGGCAGAGGCAGGTGGATCTCTGTGAGTTCCAGGCCAGCCTGGTCTACAGAGTGAGTTCCACGACTGGCTCCAAAGCTACACAGAGAAAGCCTGCCTAAATCCAAAACCCCCAAAACACAACAACAATGAAAAAACCCAAACAAACAAAAAGATCTTGTAAAAAAAAATGGGGTGTGGAGAAAGAAAGATCTTGTTGGAAATGCCTGGTTAGAGGGTTTTAAAGTAAAATGCCCAAGAAAAGAGGACTGGTTGAGTGATTGGGTTCTGGAGCTGGACTACATGATTTCACTGCTCTGCTCTGCCTCTGTCCAGTTGTGCAGCCTTGGGCAAGGAACTACTTTTACCTCGCTGTACAGTGCTGATAGTGACCGCTTCATAAGGTCGTTGTGGAAATAGCTGCTTGTGGAAGCATTACAAATTGGACCCAGTACAAAAGGGCAATGGGAATGTCGACCTTACATTCGCAGTGAGGACAGAAACCTCAGAGATTGGGGGAGGAAAGAATGGCCTGCAGGGTGGGAACAGGATCAGCAATGCCCTAATGAAGCATCTGCGGATTTTCTGAGGCTGAGTCTGACCTACGTCTAGTTCTAAGGGCAGAGAAGATGGAGTTTGTAG